AAAGTGTTTTAAAGTAGACTTAATGAGAAAACATCATGAAAATCCAAGGAATTTCTGACAATGAATCCCAAATATTTGTTACTCGCATTTATAATATTTTCCACATGCAAATTAAAGTTTAATTTGCTGTCATATGTGACCCCAAGATCTTTAATGTGTTCACTTCGCTTAAGTATTCGGGAGTTCAGAGTGTAGTCAAATCTAAGAGGATATTTTTTCATTTTACATTTGTCAACGTTTAGAGAAAGGTTATTTTCAGAACACCAGTTATTAATTTTATCCAGCTTGTTTTGAAGGCGTAAACAATCATCTATACCTGTGATGCAAGAAAAATTTTTAGCATCATCAGCATACAATAAAACGTCAGGACTGACGCCGTCTACAATGTCATTAATAAATATGACAAACAATAGAGGTCCGAGTATTGATCCTTGAGGTACTCCCAAAGATGCAGTTATTTCGATAGAATTTGCACCATGACATTCAACATATAGTTTGCGGTTTAATAAATAAGGGGAAAAAAGTTCAACTAAAAGTGGCGAGTCCCAATTTAAATAGCTTATGTAAAAGAATGTCATGATCAAGTCTATCAAATGCTCTGTATAACTATAACTATAAAACGTACTATTTATATATAAATTTTAAATATATTTAAAATTTATGCCACAACAATACGCATCAACAAGTTCAACTAATTTCAGTGTCTGCAACTTATGTTTCTGCTTACTTTATTGTTATTCGTAACGTGTTCGTAATAACTGTCCATAGTGTTTATAATATATTACCAGAAATCTGTTATTGTTATTCGGATTCCTTATACCTATTTAACGAGTGTGCAAAGTGCGAATTATCCAAAAAATATGTCACTTTAATACAACCTGGGTTTGTAATTATTTTAACAAAGGAAAATATTTTACCTAAAGTTTTGTAAAGGTAAATTGCAATTTTGTAAGTGTATTATTTTTGTATTAATTTATGTAGGTATGTGTTAATTATGTTTTATTTAGAAAATTATTTAATAAAGCAACATTTCTTATAACAAATTCTCTTTTTTAAAGTTCCCAATTTACAACAAATACTTTTGATACTGTAAAAAATACAAGTATTATGGTTGAAATTGACATGGAATTTTGTTATTAAATCTACAAAATATCTGTAATAATTACAAACTACTTATTCAATTAGTTAACAGATTACAGTTGGTTGTAAACTTAACAAAAAGTTATGTGGACCTGGATTAACATAAAATCTGGTTTTTATTTGGTTAAAATTAACAAATATTTTTTTACCGTGTATTTAATTAAGTATGTGTCTATTATTTTTGTGTTCATTTATGTGGGCAAATATTTTTTACTGTGTTGAAGCATTTTCCTATAAGCTATATAAATTTTTTTATCTCAACTCTATACCATTAAAGAATCTACTTGCGAATCTACTAAAAATGAGGGCATCAGTTTTATAGAAGAACTCGAAGAATTCATCCAAATACCTTCAAGTTTACTAAACAAGGAGACAAGGAAGAACGTAGAACCAAAACCTGAAATTGACGATGACGATAAAGCACTCTCCAATATACTTGATTTTGTGGTGGAAATGGAAGAGCTGGCCGAGAAAAGACGTTTACTAAGGCAACCAGGACAATTTCAGGTGCAACATAATGCACCCGGTAATATTTTAAACCGACAGTACTACAGACCACCCATGCAAGTGCAAGAGATGAAAAGGTTGGGATCTGGAAAGGAGAAGACCCATCAGTGTGTGAGTTGTGATCTTTGGTTCACCAGTGAAGGTTTCGTGCAGAGGCATTTGAAATCTACCGTCCATAAGAACAGGTCTTATTGTAGAAGGTCTAAGATGGTCTCTCAAGGTAACACTTATGTAATGAGTTACCAGTTTGCACCATACTAATAACATTTACAACACTATAACTATATAACGTACTATTTATATTTGTGCCAGGCGTGTTTTTAAACTTTCCAACACCAGAAGTTGGATTTTAAAATTTAAGCACATTAGGTTCTATGTTCTAATTAACAATTCTTAATAAAAAAATCATAACCATTATATCGTGTTATAAAATTATTTTCCTTGCCCCTCTGAAACTGCTTTTATTAGTTTCTCTGTATTGCGAGGGCTATTTTAAAAAGCTGAAATCCTTCTTTTAAACCTATTTCTCAATTCGAATAAGATCCGGTGAACAAGAAGGCCACTCTAAAAGAGTCACACCTAACAAAGGAAAATATTTTAACAAAAGTTTAGTAAAGCTAATATGCAATTTTGTAAGCATTTTATTAATTTAAAACGTTAGAGATTATTCTGTTTATGTTTGACAAATTATTTCGTTAAAAAAGTACACGTGATTTCAGGCAGTCAATCAAAACATTTCCCACTGACAATACGCATCAACAAGTTCAACTAATTTCAGCGTCTGCAACTTATGTTTTTGCTTACTTTATTGTTATTCGTAACCTGTTCGTAATAACTGTCCATAGTGTTTATAATTTATTACCAGAAATCTGTTATTGTTATTCGGATTCCTTAATAAGAAATCCTTATACCTATTTAACGAGTGTGGAAAGTGCAAATTATCCAAAAAATATATCACTTGTATACAACCTGGGTTTGTAATTATTTTAACAATGGAAAATATTTTACCGAAAGTTTTGTAAAGGTAAAGGTATTGCATTTTATAAAATGCAATTTTGTAAGCATTTTGTTAATGTTTAACAAATTATTCCGTTGAAAAAGTACACGTGATTTCAGGCAGTCAATCAAAACATTTTCCACTGACAATACGCATCAACAAGTTCAACTAATTTCAGCGTCTGCAACTTATGTTTTTGCTTACTTTATTGTTATTCGTAACCTGTTCGTAATAACTGTCCATAGTGTTTATAATTTATTACCAGAAATCTGTTATTGTTATTCGGATTCCTTATACCTATTTAACGAGTGTGCAAAGTGCGAATTATCCAAAAAATATATCACTTGTATACAACCTGGGTTTGTAATTATTTTAACAATGGAAAATATTTTACCGAAAGTTTTGTAAAGTAAAATGCAATTTTGTAAGCATTTTGTTAATGTTTAACAAATTATTCCGTTGAAAAAGTACACGTGATTTCAGGCAGTCAATCAAAACATTTTCCACTGACAATACCCATCAACAAGTTCAACTAATTTCAGCGTCTGCAACTTATGTTTTTGCTTACTTTATTGTTATTCGTAACCTGTTCGTAATAACTGTCCATAGTGTTTATAATTTATTACCAGAAATCTGTTATTGTTATTCGGATTCCTTATACCTATTTAACGAGTGTGCAAAGTGCGAATTATCCAAAAAATATATCACTTGTATACAACCTGGGTTTGTAATTATTTTAACAATGGAAAATATTTTACTGAAAGTTTTGTAAAGTAAAATGCAATTTTGTAAGCATTTTGTTAATGTTTAACAAATTATTCCGTTGAAAAAGTACACGGTATTTCAGGCAGCCAATCAAATTATTTTCAACACACTTACAAGTTGTGTCAGCGTCGACGGGTGTTTATAATATTTAACGGTGACAGGAGTGTTTATAATGTCCTAATTGGTTTTCAAATTAAAATTAGGCGATATAGTGAAGTTAAAGTAAATCAGTAAGTGTTTTAGTATTACTGATAGTTCAATTGTACCAAATTTCTATATAATCTGATGATTTCAGAATGGTGTGTTATTTAATTTTTTCTACGACCACTATGTAAAAGTCACTTTTCATGATGGCATCGTTGCTTAGAAAATGAATCTTTTCATTGGCAAGGCAAAACACGAATGTAAAGTGACATTTCTGTGTGAAAAGTGACAGGTCTGAGTGAAAAGAACCGGAAAGCATCGTTTGACATTCAGCTGTCAAAAAAGTATTTAGGTTATTTTGTTTTGTATTTAAAAATAATTAAAAATAAAAGGGTCGCAGAAAAAACATTGTGTTGTACTTGTGAGAAAAGCTTTCTTCAAGCTTTCTTCAAGCTCGTGTTAATGCACACTCGGCCTAACTTTTTCATGCGAGTTTTTAAGTTGCCCACGAGGCCGTTATAACGGCCTCGTGGGCAACTTAAAAACTCGCATGAAAAAGTCGCTTTTCAAAACTTGTAAAACAAATAACTATTGTGTATGTTATTTTTGTATTCATTTATGTAGGTATGTGTTAATTATGTTTTATTTAGGAAATTATTTAATATGTGACAGGAGTGTTTATAATGTCATAATTGGTTTTCAAATTAAAATTAGGCGATATAGTGAAGTTAAAGTAAATCAGTAAGTGTTTTAGTAGTACTGATAGTTAAATTGTACCAAATTTCTATATAATCTGATGATTTCAGAATGGTGTGTTATTTAATTTTGTGTATGTTATTTTTGTATTCATTTATGTAGGCATGAGTTAATTATGTTTTATTTAAAAAAATTGTTTAATAAAGCAACATTTCTTATAACAAATTCTCTTTTTTAAAGTTCCCAATTTCCAACAAATACTTTTGTTACTGGGTCTACAAAAAGGTTAGTAAAAATAAGGTTCTTCTTGAAAATTGCAAGAATTATGGTTTAATTATTGACAGGATTTTGTTATTAAATCTACAATATGTTTTTTATAATTACAAACCACTTACCTATTCAATTAGTTAACAGATTACAGTTGATTGTAAACTTAACATAAAGTTATGTTGACCTGGATTAACATAAAATCTGGTTAAAATTAACAAATATTTTTTACTGTGTTGAAGCATTTTCCTATAAGCTATATAATTTTTTTTATTATTATTAATGAACGTTTTTGATCTATGCAAACATATTTAGGTAAAAAGGTTATAATTAACAACGAATAAAAACATTTTACCTGCCTAAGCAATGTTTTTCCAAATTTATGTAGGTATCAAATTGACAAACTTATATACCTACAATTGTATATAAATATATATTTTCATAAGCTTCACCAAATCACTTATTCTTAAACAAATCAACAACAATGGAGCTCCATAGCGAAACTTTCTGCGATCTATCTCAACTCTATACGATTAAAGAATCCACTTTCGAATCTACTTGCGAATCTACTAAACATGAGGGCATCAGTTTTATAGAAGAACTCGAAGAATTCATCCAAATACCTTCAAGTTTACTAAACAAGGAGACAAGGAAGAACGTAGAACCAAAACCTGAAATTGACGATGACGATAAAGCACTCTCCAATATTCTTGATTTTGTGGTGGAAATGGAAGAGCTGGCCGAGAAAAGACGTTTACTAAGGCAACCAGAACAATTTCAGGTGCAACATAATGCACCCGGTAATATTTTAAACCGACAGTACTACAGACCACCCATGCAAGTGCAAGAGATGAAAAGGTTGGGATCTGGAAAGGAGAAGACCCATCAGTGTGTGAGTTGTGATCTTTGGTTCACCAGTGAAGGTTTCTTGCAGAGGCATTTGAAATCTACCGTCCATAAGAACAGGTCTTATTGTAGAAGGTCTAAGATGATCTCTCAAGGTAACACTTATGTAATGAGTTACCAGTTTGCACCATACTAATAATATTTACAACACTATAACTATAAAACGTACTATTTATATTTGTGCCAGGCGTGTTTTTAAACTTTCCAACACCAGAAGTTGGATTTTGAAATTTAAGCACGTTAGGTTCTATGTTCTAATTAACAATTCTTAATAAAAAAATCATAACCATTATATCGTGTTATAAAATTATTTTCCTTACCCCTCTAAAACTGCTTTTATTAGTTTCTCTGTATTGCGAGGGCTATTTTGAAAAGCTCCTTCTTTTAAACCTATTTCTCAATTCGAATAAGATCCGGTGAACAAGAAGGCCACTCTAAAAGAGTCACACCTAACAAAGGAAAATATTTTAACAAAAGTTTAGTAAAGCTAATATGCAATTTTGTAAGCATTTTATTAATTTAAAACGTTAGAGATTATTCTGTTTATGTTTGACAAATTATTTCGTTAAAAAAGTACACGTGATTTCAGGCAGTCAATCAAAACATTTCCCACTGACAATACGCATCAACAAGTTCAACTAATTTCAGCGTCTGCAACTTATGTTTTTGCTTACTTTATTGTTATTCGTAACCTGTTTGTAATAACTGTCCATAGTGTTTATAATTTATTACCAGAAATCTGTTATTGTTATTCGGATTCCTTATACGTTTTATTTAGAAAATTATTTAATATGTGACAGGAGTGTTTATAATGTCATAATTGGTTTTCAAATTAAAATTAGGCGATATAGTAAAGTTAAAGTAAATCAGTAAGTGTTTTAGTAGTACTGATAGTTAAATTGTACCAAATTTCTATATAATCTGATGATTTCAGAATGGTGTGTTATTTAATTTTGTGTATGTTATTTTTGTATTCATTTATGTAGGTATGAGTTAATTATGTTTTATTTAAAAAAATTGTTTAATAAAGCAACATTTCTTATAACAAATTCTCTTTTTTAAAGTTCCCAATTTCCAACAAATACTTTTGTTACTGGGTCTACAAAAAGGTTAGTAAAAATAAGGTTCTTCTTGAAAATTGCAAGAATTATGGTTTAATTATTGACAGGATTTTGTTATTAAATCTACAATATGTTTTTTATAATTACAAACCACTTACCTATTCAATTAGTTAACAGATTACAGTTGATTGTAAACTTAACATAAAGTTATGTTGACCTGGATTAACATAAAATCTGGTTAAAATTAACAAATATTTTGTACTGTGTTGAAGCATTTTCCTATAAGCTAAATAATTTTTTTAAATATTATTAATGAACGTTTTTGATCTATGCAAACATATTTAGGTAAAAAGGTTATAATTAACAACGAATAAAAACATTTTACCTGCCTAAGCAATGTTTTTCCAAATTTATGTAGGTATCAAATTGACAAACTTATATATACCTACAATTGTATATAAATATATATTTTCATAAGCTTCACCAAATCACTTATTCTTAAACAAATCAACAACAATGGAGCTCCATAGCGAAACTTTCTGCGATCTATCTCAACTCTATACGATTAAAGAATCCACTTTCGAATCTACTTGCGAATCTACTAAAAATGAGGGCATCAGTTTTATAGAAGAACTCGAAGAATTCATCCAAATACCTTCAAGTTTACTAAACAAGGAGACAAGGAAAAACGTAGAACCAAAACCTGAAATTGACGATGACGATAAAGCACTCTCCAATATACTTGATTTTGTGGTGGAAATGGAAGAGCTGGCCGAGATAAGACGTTTACTAAGGCAACCAGAACAATTTCAGGTGCAACAAAATGCACCCGGTAATATTTTAAACCGACAGTACTACAGACCACCCATGCAAGTGCAAGAGATGAAAAGGTTGGGATCTGGAAAGGAGAAGACCCATCAGTGTGTGAGTTGTGATCTTTGGTTCACCAGTGAAGGTTTCTTGCAGAGGCATTTGAAATCTACCGTCCATAAGAACAGGTCTTATTGTAGAAGGTCTAAGATGATCTCTCAAGGTAACACTTATGTAATGAGTTACCAGTTTGCACCATACTAATAATATTTACAACACTATAACTATGAAACGTACTATTTATATTTGTGCCAGGCGTGTTTTTAAACTTTCCAACACCAGAAGTTGGATTTTGAAATTTAAGCACGTTAGGTTCTATGTTCTAATTAACAATTCTTAATAAAAAAATCATAACCATTATATCGTGTTATAAAATTATTTTCCTTACCCCTCTAAAACTGCTTTTATTAGTTTCTCTGTATTGCGAGGGCTATTTTGAAAAGCTCCTTCTTTTAAACCTATTTCTCAATTCGAATAAGATCCGGTGAACAAGAAGGCCACTCTAAAAGAGTCACACCTAACAAAGGAAAATATTTTAACAAAAGTTTAGTAAAGCTAATATGCAATTTTGTAAGCATTTTATTAATTTAAAACGTTAGAGATTATTCTGTTTATGTTTGACAAATTATTTCGTTAAAAAAGTACACGTGATTTCAGGCAGTCAATCAAAACATTTCCCACTGACAATACGCATCAACAAGTTCAACTAATTTCAGCGTCTGCAACTTATGTTTTTGCTTACTTTATTGTTATTCGTAACCTGTTCGTAATAACTGTCCATAGTGTTTATAATTTATTACCAGAAATCTGTTATTGTTATTCGGATTCCTTATACCTATTTAACGAGTGTGCAAAGTGCGAATTATCCAAAAAATATATCACTTGTATACAACCTGGGTTTGTAATTATTTTAACAATGGAAAATATTTTACTGAAAGTTTTGTAAAGTAAAATGCAATTTTGTAAGCATTTTGTTAATGTTTAACAAATTATTCCGTTGAAAAAGTACACGTGATTTCAGGCAGTCAATCAAAACATTTTCCACTGACAATACCCATCAACAAGTTCAACTAATTTCAGCGTCTGCAACTTATGTTTTTGCTTACTTTATTGTTATTCGTAACCTGTTCGTAATAACTGTCCATAGTGTTTATAATTTATTACCAGAAATCTGTTATTGTTATTCGGATTCCTTATACCTATTTAACGAGTGTGCAAAGTGCGAATTATCCAAAAAATATATCACTTTTATACAACCTGGGTTTGTAATTATTTTAACAATGGAAAATATTTTACTGAAAGTTTTGTAAAGTAAAATGCAATTTTGTAAGCATTTTGTTAATGTTTAACAAATTATTCCGTTGAAAAAGTACACGGTATTTCAGGCAGCCAATCAAAACATTTCCAACACACTTACAAGTTGTGTCAGCGTCGACGGGTGTTTATAATATTTAACGGTGACAGGAGTGTTTATAATGTCCTAATTGGTTTTCAAATTAAAATTAGGCGATATAGTGAAGTTAAAGTAAATCAGTAAGTGTTTTAGTATTACTGATAGTTCAATTGTACCAAATTTCTATATAATCTGATGATTTCAGAATGGTGTGTTATTTAATTTTTTCTACGACCACTATGTAAAAGTCATTTTTCATGATGGCATCGTTGCTTAGAAAATGAATCTTTTCATTGGCAAGGCAAATCACGAATGTAAAGTGACATTTCTGTGTGAAAAGTGACAGGTCTGTGTGAAAAGAACTGGAAAGCATCGTTTGACATTCAGCTGTCAAAAAAGTATTTAGGTTATTTTGTTTTGTATTTAAAAATAATTAAAAATAAAAGGGTCGCAGAAAAAACATTGTGTTGTACTTGTGAGAAAAGCTTTCTTCAAGCTTTCTTCAAGCTCGTGTTAATGCACACTCGGCCTAACTTTTTCATGCGAGTTTTTAAGTTGCCCACGAGGCCGTTATAACGGCCTCGTGGGCAACTTAAAAACTCGCATGAAAAAGTCGCTTTTCAAAACTTGTAAAACAAATAACTATTGTGTATGTTATTTTTGTATTCATTTATGTAGGTATATGTTAATTATGTTTTATTTAGAAAATTATTTAATATGTGACAGGAGTGTTTATAATGTCATAATTGGTTTTCAAATTAAAATTAGGCGATATAGTGAAGTTAAAGTAAATCAGTAAGTGTTTTAGTAGTACTGATAGTTAAATTGTACCAAATTTCTATATAATCTGATGATTTCAGAATGGTGTGTTATTTAATTTTGTGTATGTTATTTTTGTATTCATTTATATAGGCATGAGTTAATTATGTTTTATTTAAAAAAATTGTTTAATAAAGCAACATTTCTTATAACAAATTCTCTTTTTTAAAGTTCCCAATTTCCAACAAATACTTTTGTTACTGGGTCTACAAAAAGGTTAGTAAAAATAAGGTTCTTCTTGAAAATTGCAAGAATTATGGTTTAATTATTGACAGGATTTTGTTATTAAATCTACAATATGTTTTTTATAATTACAAACCACTTACCTATTCAATTAGTTAACAGATTACAGTTGATTGTAAACTTAACATAAAGTTATGTTGACCTGGATTAACATAAAATCTGGTTAAAATTAACAAATATTTTTTACTGTGTTGAAGCATTTTCCTATAAGCTATATAATTTTTTTAAATATTATTAATGAACGTTTTTGATCTATGCAAACATATTTAGGTAAAAAGGTTATAATTAACAACGAATAAAAACATTTTACCTGCCTAAGCAATGTTTTTCCAAATTTATGTAGGTATCAAATTGACAAACTTATATATACCTACAATTGTATATAAATATATATTTTCATAAGCTTCACCAAATCACTTATTCTTAAACAAATCAACAACAATGGAGCTCCATAGCGAAACTTTCTGCGATCTATCTCAACTCTATACGATTAAAGAATCCACTTTCGAATCTACTTGCGAATCTACTAAAAATGAGGGCATCAGTTTTATAGAAGAACTCGAAGAATTCATCCAAATACCTTCAAGTTTACTAAACAAGGAGACAAGGAAGAACGTAGAACCAAAACCTGAAATTGACGATGACGATAAAGCACTCTCCAATATTCTTGATTTTGTGGTGGAAATGGAAGAGCTGGCCGAGAAAAGACGTTTACTAAGGCAACCAGAACAATTTCAGGTGCAACAAAAT